TTTAAAGGGAGCATATTTCTGAAAAAAAATCATAAAGGAGGTCACTGGAGGTAAAAATACCCATTTATCCTAACTTTTTTACCTCCAACTATCCAGCTGAATGTTTGATACATAATACAAATAGTTAAAGGTGAAGTTTGGAGTTGTTAAAAAATAAAAATACATACTCACCTTCATTCCACATCTTTGGTCTGATGCTGCAGCTGTCCCCTGCTGGTTCTAAGGCCAAGAACTGATGACTGCTGATCACTAAGTTCTTTGTCAGCCCTTTGTGCTCTGCCCCTCCAGCACGCACTGGAGCACCAGGCTGTGAAGGGGGCAGGAGCGACTGGCTTTGGCTCTCAGCCACGCACTGGGAGACTAAACCAGCTGCTGATCAGGCAATATGTTTGGGATCCTTCCAAAGCCTGGAATGGCTCTGTGACGTCAGCTGATTCTGGGTAACAGGGGGAGCACAAGTAAGTGCACTGCTGTGACTCACAAGAGAAGTATGGCCAAAAAGCTTTGACCACAGTTTTATTTTAAATAGTAAATTTTTATAGGAGTCCTAAGTCCAGACAAAAAGAAGGGCAACAGAGAGGTAAAGAGGGACTTAGAGATATGTTCATAAAACTGCCACAGTCTATATAAATTAGAGACAAGTTGGGAGCTTTGTGCATCGTTATTTAGAGAAAAATCTCACTATCACATATCTCCCAACTTTCTGAGATAGGAATGAGGGACACCTACTAGCAAAAGTAGGTAGGCATAGGACACACACCCTGCCACACCCCAATTAAAAGAAAATTGCACAGAAAAGATTATATTGGCTTTTGAAGTTTACAAATGCAACAATTTAGAAATTGGATGAAAGGGTTAACACTGGGAAACACTTTTTGATAGCTATGTAGTGCATATTATATATACAGTATATAGATCAGACCAAAATGAGGGACAAAATGAGGAGGAAGAGGGACAGAGGGACATTGTTCTGAATGAGGAATAGTCCCTCGAAATCACGGACAGTTAGGAGCTATGCTATCATTGCACACTTCTCCAATGGCAAAGCCCTGAATAGCTATCAAATGTATGCTAATGAGAAGTTCTGGCTACACACACAAAGTCAGTTCAATTTAATTTGCAAACATCTGTAGCTATACAAAAATAATATGCATGGGCTTGTTTACAGATGTCGAATACAGGTCAGTGGATAAGGTAGTACCACCAATCCTCCTGTACAGGGTCCAGGCCAACAGGGGGCCCCAGGCAGCTTAGTGACTCAGATGTCAGTGACCCAGGGAAGGGCAGTACGCAGAAGTCACCAACTGTCTGTAGAGTCAATAGCTAAAGACCTCCAAACTTCATGTTGCCTTCAGATTAGCACAAAAAACAGTGCATAGAGAGCTTCATGGAATGAGTTTCCATGGCCAAGCAGCTGCTTCCAAGCCTTACATCACCAAGTGTAATGAAAAGTATCGGATGCAGTGGTGTAAAGCACGCTGACACTGGACTCTAGAGCATTGGAGATGTGTTCTTTGGAGTGACGAAATCACACTTTCCTGTCTGGAAATCCAATGGATGTGCCTTATTTTGTCAGTTGCCAAGAGAATGGTACTTGCCTGACTGTATTGTGCCAAGTGTAAAGTTTGGTGGAGGTGGGATTATGGTGTAAGGTTGTTTTTCAGGCCTTGGGCTTGGCTCCGTAGTTCCAAGTGAAGGGAACTCATAAGGCATCAGCATACAAGACATTTTGGACAATTTCATGCTCCCAACTTTGTGGGAACAGTTTGGAGATGGCCCCTTCTTGTTCCAATATGACTGCGCACCAGTGCACAAAGCACGGTCCATAAAGACATGGATGAGCGAGTTTGGGGTGGAGGAACTTGACTGGCCTGCCCAGAGTCCTGACCCGAGAGAACACCTTTGGGATGAATTAGAGTGGAGACTGCGAGCCGGGCCTTCTCATCCGACATCAGTCAGTGCCTGACCTCACAAATGCGCTTCTGGAATAATGGTCAAACATTCCCATAGACACACTCCTAAACCTTGTGGACAGCCTTCCCAGAAGAGTAGAAACTGTTATAGCTGCAAAGGGTGGGCCAACTCATTGTACCCTATAGACTAAGACTAGGATGCCATTAAAGTTCATGTGTGTGTAAAGGCGGGTGTCCCAATACTTTTGGCAATATAGTGTATGTCGCATTTACCAGCCCCTTCCATTCCTGAATGAACACACTGAGTGATCAGTACCGATCACTCACTGTTTCTATTCATAACTGAAGCATAGTAAACTGTGTGTGGGGGGGGGGGCACTGTCAGGTTGGCTCTTAGTTATATATTACTTAATTAATGTAACTTAATTAACTTAATTTAAGAGAATGCACTGTGAGCATTTACTAATGTTATGTCAGGTTAGTACAAGTTACATATTTAATAACAAACACTGTTATTTATTCTTAATTGAAAAACCTACTGCCAAAGCAAAATTCATTGCATACCACTGAAAAATAGTGCTATTAGCAAATTGAGATGGATATGTCAGGAACAAGCTCAGGTGAATTATGTACATTGTGAATCCTCTGGGGTAATATTTTACTTAGCTGGAGGGGTATTCTTCTTGCAAGCATTTATAAAGAAGACAAATAGAAGCTTCCAGTCTGTTTATAACCAACCTGGAGCTATAGCTGTTGGTAGCATGACTTCCAAAATAATTTTCTTTCGCTTGATACCTAACAGAATTAAATTACAACTACAGAAAATAACATGACTTTCATAGACATTGTTTAATAAACTTATTTAAGGGATTAAAAATGTAAAACCATTAAATAAAAATAGTTTGGCTAGTTGGAGGGTTAAAAACAAATATTGCCAGTAACATTTATCAATTAGCCAATTATTATCTATGTTCTATGCATGATGCAAATAAAGGTAAACTGGTAAAATATTTTTAGCTTTAAACAGAGTGAGAAAGGATAGAACCTCTGCCAGGATTGTATCTCTTTTTGTATCCCCACTGAAGAACTTTCCCCTCTGTGGCCAAGCAAAAAATCAGAAATTAGATCAGCTTTAGGGTGGCCATCAGGAATGACAAAAAGTGAATCTGATTTTCTGATGGAAGTAGTGGCAGACAGATAAACTCATATAGCACAAACCACATATACAATGGGGGAAATCTGCTCCTGATAAACAGGAGCTAAGCAAAGGGATGGAAGAAAGATGTCCTAATGAAGGTGAAAAACTGAAACACCTCAGGAAGGAAACAGTGTCTAGGCCTCAAAACCACCTCATCCTTTTTTAAGACCAACAAGTGATGGCAACAAGTAATGGATGTGGATGAGAGCAGAAAGGGGAATATCCCTTATAGCAGGGGTATGGAATTAAAATTCACAGAGGTCTGGTCAGTAAAATTTCCTTCTAACAGGGGTTTGAGTATCATGTTTGTGCCATGACCCGGATCTTTCATATCACAGCCCCTCCCCGTACGTACATTGCAGTTTCCCCTTTACATCACAGCCCCCCTCCCCTTTATATCACAGTCCTTTTTACATCAGTCTCTCCTTTACACCACAGTGTCCCCTTTTTACATTGCAGAACCCCCTTCTTTACATCACAGTGTGCTTCTTTATATCACAGCCCTCCCCCTTTACAATACAGCCCCCTTTTACATCACCCCCCCTTTACATCACAGCCCCACTTTACATTACAGTGCCCCCATTTACAACACAGTCCCCCTTTACATCACAGCACTCCCCTTTACAATACTGCCCCCTTTATAGCACTCCCCTTTTCAATACAGCCCCCCTTTACAATACAGCCTGCACCTTACATTGCAGTGCCTTCTTTTCATCACAGCCTCCCTTTACAATACAGCACCCCCTTTACAATACATCCCCCCCCTTTACATCACAGTCCTTCCCCCTTTACATTACAGTGTTTCCTTTACATCACAACCTCTGTTCTGTGTGTCCAATCTAAGCATTGATAGTGTGATCTCTGTAACTTACAGTTGTGATGAGATAGCGATAACTTCAACCTCAGTTGGGATCCACAGTCAGTGACTCAATCAGAATGAAACTGAGAGAATCTTACAACAATAAACATTCGATAGGTCGAAAGAACATACTGTTTCTGCTTCTTGCCATGAGGCTGTTGCAATGCATCTCTGGGAAGCGGGAGGGCTATCTATGCAACATTAGCTAAACTAAAGGAAAGGGAGGAGCAGAGACAAAACACTGAAAATATTTAAAGGCATATGACAGTCAATATGACAGTCATGTGAAACATGACACTCCCCGTCGAAATCTATGATTTCCATAATAATGAACTTTAGTTCAAGTCCAATATAAATAATAATGAAATTTCTTTCCATGAACATCTGCAAAACAAGAGGGAAGGGAAGAACAAGGGAAAACAATGCAAACATTAAGCATAATGCAGATGTTGGTCTCAAAAGTCCAGGCTGAGACATGGAAGTCCATATTCAGAGAGGGAAGGCAGCAACATGCATGTTTCCTTCTTTAACCACTTGCCTACCAGGCACTTATACCCCCTTCTTTACCAGGCCAATTTTCAGCTTTCAGCGCTGCCGCACTTTGATTGACAATTGCGCGGTCATGCAACATTGTACCCATATGAAATTTTGATCATTTTTTTCTCACAAATAGAGCTTTCTTTTGGTGGTATTTAATCGCCACTGGGTGCTTTACTTTTTGCGCTATAAATAAAAAAAGTGCAAAAAATTTGAAAAAAAAAAAGAAAAAGTTTCTTTGTTTCTATTATAAAATTTTTCAAACAGGTAATTTTTCTCCTTCACTGATGTGCGTTGATGAGGCAGCACTGATGGGCACTGATAGGCGGCACTGATGGGCACTGATAGGCAGCACTAAAGGGCACTGATAGGCAGTACTAATGAGGTGGCAAGGATAGGCGGCACTGATAGACAGCACTAATGAGGTGTCACGGATAGGCGGCACTAATATGCAGCACTGATAGGCTGCACTGATAGGTGACACTGATGATGGGTACTGATATACGGAACTGACTGGCATCACTGCTGGGCACTGACTGGCAGCACTGACTGGCACAACCCCTGGGCACTGACTGGCGGCACTGACTGGCACAACCCCTGGGCACTGACTGGCGACACTGACTGGCAGCACTGCTGGGCTGCACTGGTGGGCAGCACTGGTGGGTGGGCACAGTTGGGTGGCACTGGTGGGCACAGGTGGGTGGGCACAGGTGGGTGGCACTGCTGGGCACAGGTAGGTGGCACTTCTGGGCACAGGTAGGTGGCACTGCAGAGTGGCACAGGTGGGTGCACTGCTGGGCACAGGTGGGTTCACTGCTGGACACAGGTGGGTGATCTGCTGGGCACAGGTGGGCGGAGCTAGTGGGCGCACTGCTGGGCACAGGTGGGCGGAACTTGCGGGTGGCACTGCTGGGCACCGATCATCAGGGCACTGATCATCAGTGCCCTGATGATCAGTGCCGATCCCCGCTCTGACAACTGCCGGTTCTCGGCAGTACTTTCCTCACGATATGACAGCGTGAGGAAAGTGCAGCCGAGAACCGGCACTTGCATTTCCCTCTGATCAGCGTGTCATTGGACACCGCTGATCACGTGGCAAAAGGCCGCTGTGATTGGCCTTTTACCACATCACGTGATCAGCTGTGTCCGTAGGAGGACACAGCGATCACGGAGATCGCCGGGTGCGCGCCCCCTGGGGCGCGCAGGAGAGCACGTTCTGGGAGGACATCATATGACGTCCACTCAGAACTGGCCGGCCGCAGTGTAGCCGTCATTCGGCTATCTGCGGTCGGCAGCTAGTTAAATCAGGTTGATGACTTGTCTTCCTCTTTGGGCAAAAGAAGTACTAGTTCCTTTACAGGTCTGGAGTAAAAGTGTGCAGAACCTTCTTTCATGGTGGATATAGCCAAGATGTGTCCCAAAATGCAGTAGTATGTACTGCACGACTGCCGCGGTCAGCAGGGTTGAGGCTTATGGGAACATAGTGCCATTTTTTCAGTGTAGAGAACTTCCTTATGCGTTCCACTCTGTTGCCAACATACACATAGCACTGTCTTGTGCGATTGTGTATATATCCTAGCACTATTTTGCTGTCTGTATAAAAGTCAACGGAATCTATTTCAACATCTGTTTCAAGTTTTAGAAGCTCAGCAATTTCCACAACTAACACAGCTGCACAAAGTTCAAGCCTTGGAATAGTATGTGCAGGCTTTGGTGTGAGCTTGGTCTTGCCCATGATAACTTCTACACCAACTTTACCGCTGGGATCTGTAGCTCGAAGATAAGCCATCGCAGCAATGGCTTCATTGGAAGCATCTGAGAAGACATGAATTTCTCTCTTTCTCTCTCTCTCTTTCTCCACTACTCTAGAGTCCAATGGCAGCGTGCTTTATACCACTGCATCCGGCATTTTGCATTGCATTTGGGGATGTAAGGTTTAGATGCAGATGCTCTGCCATGGAAAACCATTCCATGAAGCTCTCTATGCACTGTTGTTGTGCTAATCTGAAGGCCACATAAAGTTTGGAGGTCTTTAGCTTTTGACTTTTCAGACAGCTGGGAACTTCTGCACACTTCAGCATGCGCTGACCCCGCTCTGTCATTTTATATGGCCTACCACATCGTGGCTGAGTTGCTGTTGTTCCCAGTTGCTTCCACTTTGTTATAATACCACTAACAGTTGACCGTGGAATATTTATTAGCAAGGAAATTTCACAGATGGACTTACGCAGGTGGCAACCTATCATGGTACCACACTTGAATTCACTGAGCTCCTGAGAGCGACCCATTCTTTCACAGATGTTTGTAGAAGCAGTATGCATGCCTAAGTGCTTGATTTTTATACACCTGTGGCCATGGAGGTGATTTGAACACCTGAATCCAATGATTTGGAAAGGTGTCCCAATACTTTTGGCAATAAAGTGTATGTGCAGGTATGTAGCTGAGGCGACGAAACTGTCAGTGTTCACTTAGTTAGTGGACACATGGGACTCTCACCTGATCAATGTGATCCAGCAGATCGTAGCAGTCTGTCTTTTCCGGCAGATGGGAGCCCCACACAGACTCTGGTTCAGATTTGGCTTCCCCTCTGGTCTCCTGCTAACATATTGGCTCACTAGGCATCTTGACAGGGTGGGCGATCAGTAGGCTCTTTCTGCTCCTTCTCCCTCTCCATCGCTGGCTCCGCGGCTTAGTTCAGCACTTCAGCCATCAGCACACTTCCTTCTCTCTCAGCCTCTCCCCTCATTCTCCTGGCCAGTCTCCCGAGGCTTTGATATTTATATGCCCCCACCCACACGCTACCTCCCCTGGGAAATGCACTCCCTGGGAGTTCTACTCACTATTCAAGTCCTGCTGTTCAACATACAAGTTCCAGAGGGCTGTTCTACCAAATGTGAATGACCCCAAAGGCCGGCCATCACCATCTAATGTCCATTTTAAATTACTGCATCTAACACCATTTCAATGGGTTACACTTGGTTAAAATACAGCAGCAACACCTCAACCTGATTCATTTCAGTGTGAAAAATTGCTTTTTTTCACGTAGTTTTAGCAGTAACAGCTTTTTCATCAAGCGGTAATAGGCATACTTTGACTTGGATAGAACTTTGCCAGTGGTTCCGTTTCTTGCATATTCAAAACTGTGCTGCAAATGGATTTGCATTAAACTATTTTCTAAGAATTAGTACACCATTGAGGATATATCAGGAAAACTACAGACCAGTCAGCCTAACATCAATAGTATGTAAGGTATTTCAGGGAATGATAAGGAACCCTATACAGTATTTTGTATGTGCAGATTAAAGGAAACAGTTTCAGCAGCATCACATCCCTAGAAAATACTAGTATGAGATAGGTATGATAATATTTATTACATATTCATGTTAAAAAACATTGAGACATTTCACAGAAATATTTTTAACATGGTTGTTGTAGAGGTATTTGGCAAGATCCTCTATGCATTTTCTTCCACATGTTTCGCCACATGGCTTCTTCAGGAAGTATGCATACAGGAAACTAACAAGAATACAAAGATAAATATGTAAGATACAAAGTACTATAGAGAAGAATACATGCCTCATATGAAGAGATAAAAAACCCATCCACATACAGATCAGCCACTCCCCATACAGATCCACAACAAAGAACTGTCATTGGGATGAAATAGGATTCCCCATGAGTCAACCAGGAACATGAGAAAACTTGTGGACCACCGCAGAGGAGGTATATCAGCAAGATTAAAATTCTATAAATATGATTTACATTAATTTGTTAATATTCTTTTTATTTGCTATAGGGGTTGTGACAGTATGAACGGCGAGGTGATCGATGGACGCTATGTGTCACCTCGCAGACAATCATACTTTGAAATTTAAGGTGGAGTCCATTCCGGGTTTTCAGGGCCACATGGGCATAGTTGGTTCCGGACCAGATTTTATGCTCCACTGAGGACCACCAACAGGTGGTGTAAATAAGGCAAGGCTGGAGCAAGGAGTCGCTCCTGGCCTGGTACTCAGAGACCCATTCTGAGAGAGCTGTGCATGAAAGTGAATGTTATACAAACAAAAGAAAAGGTTTGCTTATGGTTTTGTTTTGGTTGGTGACAGGGAGAAGCCCTTCACCAGCGAGACAAGAAAAAGTTCTATGTTTACTTAGTGTCTGGATGGCGAGGGTTTATTTTGATGTTTTGTTTGTTTTGATATTTTGCAAACCTTTTAAATAAAACTGACAACCAGTCAGATTTTGAAGAAAGCCTACTGTGCGGTCTACCTTTTTCCCAGGGAAGGAGATCCCCCACCTGAGCTACCCCCACAGGGTAGAAATGAAAAAGCATGGTCCCTCACTTTATATGCTTAGTACTTACAGGATCTTAAATCAAGCAGTCCAAAGGGGGAACCAAAGTGTCACAAAACAGAAAAAGTCAATCTGTGCAGGTAGAAATAAAGATAGTAGGAATACAGACACTATTTAAGGTGTAAAGCTGCCGTATAGCTATAAGGTTACAATAAGGCAGAAACTTTATTAAAGATGTGGTAATTGCTAACACCTCAAGAGCCACCTAGGCAGGGGCGGACTGACCATTTGGAAACTCGGGCACTGCCCGAGGGCCCGGGGTCAGTAGGGGGCCCCATGAGATGCCCCTGGTACCTTTTTCATTGGCTTTTTTGAGTTTGGGCAAGGACACAGGGGCCCCATGATCCCCTATTGCCCGGGGTCCCCATGAGTTGTCAGTCCGCCCCTGCACCTAGGCTACTCCACAGATGATCCCATCCCCATCTCCTCCAAGGGCAGGTGAAACATGCTACACAGATCCATAAGACCACAGCTTTTCTTAAATACTTACTTGAGCAGACAAATCTCTATGTGTATGACACGGGCTCCTCAGACCACGGCAAAATGGCAGCTGGTTGCTAGATTTATATACCTCTTCCATCCCGCCGGCATGTGACTTGGGGGCGGGATGCAGACATAACATTGGAGCCTGTGCATGTATGTCAGGCCCTGAGGCTCCGCCTAACCCAATCTGCCCCCCCAGCAAACCTACAGACGAGATTGAGGCTTGGATGACACAGATCTTCTATGATGGAGTAGAGGGGTGCCCTCTATGGGGAGAAGGGTAGATGTTCAGGAGGAAAAAGAAAGAGATGAAAAAACCTTCACTCCCAAAATCTTGGGCAGGGGGGAACCAGCCCACCCGGAGGATACTTGGAGGATACTGCTTACCAGGAGCACGGAGTAGGACCCCCTAGTGAAAGAGGACCATCTACACCAGCCTCACACTAAACAGAGGGAGAATCACCCCACTATCGGATGACATCAGGATTTTATATATAAACAAAAGCGCATTGATATGCGCATCCGGTGAGTGCGCATTACCTTACCTCTACTACACGGATACCGGATTTCTATGTGATCTGAGCACTTTATATTCATGCTGCTTTCCTTGACCATTTTTTCTTGTCTTTGAACTTTTATATATATATTTATTTGATATATATATTTTTAAAATACCCAGGATTAATTTTATCCATATCTGTCTTATTAATTTACTATACTCAGCGCTGCACTTTATATATATACATCTCCTGTAGTATGTCTGCAGTCTCTGGTCATCTCCTGTAGTATGTCTGCAGTCTATGGTCATCTCCTGTAGTATGTTCACAGTCTCTGGTCATCTCCTGTACTATGACCGCAGTCTCTTGGTCATCCCCTGCACTGTCTGCAGTCTCTGGTCATCCCCTGTACTGTCTGCAGTCTCTGGTCATTTGTACTATGTCCACAGTCTCTGGTCATCCCCTGTACTGTCCGCAGTCTCTGGTCATCTCCTGTACTGTCCGCAGTCTCTGGTCATCTCTTGTACTGTCTGCAGTCTCTGGTCATCTGCTGTACTATGTCTGCAGTCTATGGTCATCTCCTGTGCTATGTCCACAGTCTCTGGTCGTCTCCTGTAGTATGTCCACAGTCCCCGGTCATCTCCTGTAGTATGTCCGCAGTCTCCGGTCATCTCCTGTAGTATGTCCGCAGTCTCCAGTCATCTCCTGTAGTATGTCTGCAGTCTCTGGTCATCTCCTGTACTGTGTCTGCAGTCTCTGGTCATTTCCTGTACTATGTCTGCAGTCCATTGGCTCAGAATATTTTTTTTCTTGTTTTCCTCCTCTAAAACCTAGGTGCATCCTCTGGTTAGGTGCGTCTTATGGAGCGAAAAATACGGTAATTTCATTATTGTTCCTGTACTGTATTCTGGGGTATGGTATCTCTTCATATGAGGCATGTATTCTTCTCTACAGTACTTTGATTCTTACATATTTATCATTGTATTCTTGTTAGTTTCCTGTATGCATACTTTCTGAAGAAGCCATGCGGCGAAACATGTAGAAGAAAATGCATAGAGGATCTTGCCAAATACCTTTACAACAACCATATAGGATGTTAAAAATATTTCTGTGAAATTCTCAATATCATAATTAAAAATCAGCATGGAGTTATTAACCATTTCAATACTGGTCACTTTCACCCCCTTCCAACCGAGGCCAAGTTTCAGCTTTCTGTGCTGTCACAATGTGAATGACAATTACTCAGTAATGCAACACTGTACCCAAATGACATTTTTTATCATGTTTTTAGATAAATAGAGCCTTTTTTTTGCAGTATTTAATCACCAGTGGGTTTTTTATCTTTTGCGCTATAAACGAAAAAATACAAAAAAATTTTGGGGGGGGGGGGGGGACGTGTTAGTTTCCATTATAACATTTTGCAAATAAGTTGTTTTTCTTCATACATTTTGACCAAAATTTATACTGCTATATTTCTTTGGTAAAAATAACCCAAATCAGTGCATATTATTTAGACTGCGTGAAACTTAGAGTCTACAAGCTATGGTATCTATCACTGAAAATTGATCACACCTGATGTACTGGCTGCTTATCTCATTTTGTAAAGCCAGGACAGTACACATACCCCTCAAATGACCCCTTTTTGGAAAGTAGACAGTCCAAGGTATTTAGTAGAAGGCATGGTGAGTTTTTTTAAATAAAATTTCTTCCTACACAATTCTTTGGAAAATTAAATAGTTTTTTTTTTTCACAACAATGTCACATTAACAAGTTATTTTTCACACACAGCATAGGCATACTTGCAACTACACCCCAAAATACATTTTGATACTCCTCCTGAGTATGGCGATAATGCATGTGTCAGACTTTTTAACAGCCCAGCCACATAGAGAGGCCTAACATCCAAGGAGTACCTTCGGGCTTTAGCCACTTTAAGACCAGGCCTTCGTCTGTAAGTGAAAATCAGTATTTTTGCTAGAAAATTACTTAGAACCCCCAAATCTTTTGAAATTGTCAGCTAGTACCACTTGGGTGTAAGGATTCAACATTTTAACTGCTCTAACAGTAAAAAAAACCCTTTCTGCAATCTATGGTTAAGCCTCCTTTCTTCTAACCTCAAATCATGGCCGTGTGTGCTCTTCAGGGATCTTAGAGTAATTTTACTACTACTGTTTACTACAGTTACTAAAATCACCTTTGATAAACCTGTACCTTGTAATCATTTCCCATTTTAAGCTCCTCTTGTCTAGACTGAATAACTTACCAATGAAAGCAATCCTCATAGATGCGGTCCCACACCCCCCTTGTTAATTTTGTTGCCCTTTGCTGAACTCTTTCTAATTTAACAATTCTTTCCTGAGGATTGGTGACCAAATCTGAACTGCATATTCAAGATGAATGATAACCGGTTTGACTGACGAGAAGTCTTTTACTGTTTTCTACCCGGTCGTTTACGTGCATGTTGAACTCGTTACAAAATGACAGGAGGGCAGTCTTTATGTCTGGAGGAATAAAAAAACTAATCTCCACATACAGAAAAGCTTCTTCACAGTAAGAGCTGTGAAAATGTGGAATAGACTCCCTCAGGAACTAGTATTCACCAGCTTAATAGTTTTAAAAATAAAAGAGCTGGATGCATTCCTAAATGCACTAAATATAAAAATATATTAACATTTATAGGTAATAACATCAGATATTTTTGATGCAGGTAATATCAATTTGCCTCCAGAGGATCAAGAAGGGATATTTTTCCCTTCTGGAGCAAATTGGACCATGCTTTATAAGTTTTTTTGCCTTCCTTTTGGGCTTCTGTATATGGAGGTTTTCTATTTATTTTTCTTTTGTTTGAACTAGATGAACTTGTGTTTTGTTTTTTTTTAATTAACCCAAAATGAATTTCCAGACAGAAATCACTATTAAAAAAACACACATAAGGGGAAGAGGAAGAAGAAATTAACCTTGGTTTATGTATTCCATTTTTAATAATATGAACCCTTTCTCAGTTCACCAAGGCCAGGAGTAGCACCTTACGTGCCCTTAACCACTAGCCTACAGGGCACTTATACTCCCTTCCTGCCCAGGCCAATTTTCAGCTTTCAGCGCTGTTGCACTTTGAATAACAATTACGCGGCCATGCAACACTGTACCCATATGAAATGTTTATCTTTTTTTTGTGACAAATAGAGCTTTATTTTGGTGGTATTTAATCAAATCTGGGTTTTTTAATTTTTTCTTAAACAGACCAAAAACCACTGAAAATTTTAAAAAAATAAAGTTTTTTCTTAGTTTTTGTTATAAAATTTTGTAAATAAGTGATTTTTCTCCTTCACTGATGTGCGCTAATGAGGCTGCAGTGATAGGCACTGATAGGCTGCACTGATGGACATTGATAGGTGACACTGATGGGCACCGATGAGGAGGCACTGGTAGGTGGCACTGATGGGCATTGACAGGCATCACTGATGGGCACTGAAAGGCAGCACTTATATATGGCCATGAGAGGCAGCACTGATAGGTGGTACTGATAGGCGGCACTGACTGGCACTGATAGGCGGCACTGACTGGCACTGTTAGGTGGCACTGACTGGCACTGTTAGGCGGCACTGATAGGCAGCACTGACGGGCACTGATAGGCGGCACTGATGCACACTGATAGGCGGCACTGACTGGCACTGATAGGCGGCACTGACTGGCACTGATAGGCGGCACTGATTGGCAGCACTGATAGGTGGCACTGACTGGCATTGATATGTGGCACTGACTGGCACTGATAGGTGACACTGAAAGGCAGCTCAGATGGGCACTGATATGTGGCATTGGTGTGGCACTGATGGGCACTAAAATGTGGCACTGATGTGGCACTGATGGGCACTGGCAGGTGGCATGGATGAGCACTAAGAGCTGGCACTAATGGACACTGACAGGTGGTGCTGCTAGGGCTACACAGATCATCAGGGCACACTGATCATCAGTGCTCTGACAGCTCGTGAGGAGAGAAATGCTGATAACCGGCATTTCCCTGTTTACATGTGATCAGCTGTAATTGGACACAGCTAATCACATGACCAAGCCGACATCTTTGGCTCTTTCCGTGGATCGGTGATCCGCTGTGTCCAAGGGACACAGCGCACCGCCGATCGCCGCGCTGCGCGCTCTGGGAGCAGCGCATGCGCGGTTAGAATGGGAGGACGTCATATGACATCCTCCCAGAACGAGAAAACCACCTGGTGTCCGTCATTGTACTATTTGGCGGGCGGGAGACGGTTAACTGGTAATCCATAAACAAGAGGACCACACACTCACAGTGGTTAATTTACTAAAGACTAATAGGTAGTTCATTTTAAAAGTGATTTTTTTCCTTAGAAGCTCTGCTGACTTCCATTATCTAATCATGTGCAAGCAAAATACTTTTCTTTTATTTGCCTTGGATGTAATTGGGTATTCTTTGCAAAAGTGAATTTTTGCATTCCACATTCACTAAGCTAGGCGAAATGTCTCTTGCAAAGTAACAATTCCTTTAAAAAGTGCACAGATTTGACTTTAGCAAACCAACCCCCCAATATTCTTACTATAGTAAGAAAGACCATCCTTACATGCTGCTCAGCCATTCAAATTAAGCTTTGTATTTTCTGAATGAGTTCAAGGCTTCCTCTGATTGGCTGAAGTGGAGATTGTGATGTCAATTGCCTACCTCTCCACCTCAGCCAATCAAAGAAAAGTGTATCCTCGTTCAGAAAACACAAAGCTTCTTCGAAATGATTGAGCAGCACACAGACTTGCTCAATTTTGTTATGGGAGCTATGCTACATATAGTTTATACAGCTTTGACAGGAAGCATATCTCTTAGGTTCGTTTGTTTTTACATTTTTGTTATTGTTTTATTGCAAAAAAGCACAAAACAAAAGCACAAACTTAAAAAAAAAAATTGTAGTAAATTTCTTTCAATTCAAACCTGGGCGAGTGGATCACTGGAGCAGAAATGAAAAAAAAAACTGACTTACTAGATTTTAGATTATTCACTGGTTTGACCACAGGTCTACTTATAAAACAACTTTACGACTAATATTATTGCAAAATTAACATCCATCAGGGCATAGTACATTGCTCAACAACATTTTCTTTACAGCCATGTATTTAACAGTCTGTGATGAATATTTAAAAATAATGACCATGAAACCTTTAGCATTTATCAGATTTGCATGTAGGAATAAGTAAGTAAACAAAATTATTCCCTAATCAAAATATGTCAAAGGTTAGCCTGAACTTTTTTTTTTACAAGCGCTTTTCTAGACATCAATTTAGTCCCACTCTATGAAATGATCATTTAAATGCTACAGTTTAATGTAAACACTTCAGGTCCCAACCAGTTTAAGTCTTTAACATTGGAAGTGGAAGCTAAATATATGTGTAAAATGCCAACTTTTCACTTTCTGCTCTTTAATTTGACAGTGAATGAGCAAGCTATAACCTTTTTCTATAGCTTTTATTCTCCTTTAGGAAAGACTTTAATGGAAATTAATGTGAAATATGTTCACCTGTCAGACTGTTTAGAGCAAATGTCATAGATCACATGCCATTTAAGTCATAATTTAAGAAACAAAAAAAAGGAAATTATTTATCAGCATTTATCACTCATAAGGAAATGCTATTAGAGAATGAGTCTGTTTTTAGCCTTAGGTATGGCAGTGGGAGTAAAAGTACTAAATATATGTACAGTAAGTTTTCTTTATGATTATGTTTCTTTAAAAATGTAACGCCCTGCTAGAATGCAAGTTGCAGGATGTTGAGAGAAACACAAGATGGCAGTGTCCTGCAATTCACTGGCACTTACTTTCTGTAGAACAGCCCCATGGACCTTGTATGCTGAACTGCAGGACTTTGCTGGGGAGAAGTGTACTAGAGAACTACATTTCCCAGAGGAGCTGGCATGTAGGTGACAGCATTTATATACAGAAACCCGGAGACTTAACAAAACGTGAGAGGGGAGAGAGCAGAAGTGGAGAACCAGAGTTGTGCTGACTGCTGGAATACCAGACCAGGCAGCTGAGCTAAAGAGGAGAGAGTTGAAGAGGAGTCGCTGACTGCCAGCCTTGCCACCCTGTTCAGTGAGGCATTCTGCCAGCAGGTGACCCGGAGCATGGTGTCCCAAACAGAACACTGCAATTGAGACCAGAAAACCTGTGGGGGCTGCATCCGCTGGGAGAGAGTCTGCCAGGACCTGTTGGAAGTCACCGATCGGGTGAGAGAGTCCCATGCACTAGCCAAACAAGTGAACACTGACATTCCTCTCATATCTGCCACTTTCCTGTGTATAGTTGCAGACGTTGAATATAGTTAACACATGTTGAGGACTAGTTCCTCTGGCCACTGGTATTGAACACATTTGCAGCACAGCCCAATCATTGGAGCTGACCGCAGTGCACGTCTTCTGCGGTCAAACCACAGGACCAAGGAATAAGTCCATCAACATCAGTAAACGTGAACAGATCCTTCTCTCAATATTTTAAAATGTATAATGGTACCAGGCAGGGATGCCCCCTTTCTCCTTTATTGTTTGTTCTGTTCCTGAAACCACTACTAGAGAGGGTTAGGAAATGTATTGACATAAAGGGGATAAAAATAGAAGAAACAGAACATAAAGTTGCTGCTTATGCAGACGATATGTTGTTCTATGTTGCTAACCATAGAATAACATTGCCCAACTTAATGAAAGCATTAAAACAGTATGGGGAAATATCAAATTTGAAGATAAACCCAACTAAATCAGAAATTTTAAATAACAATCTTATAGAAAAAAAGAAGATAAACTTACAAAAAATGTTCCCTTTCATGTGGAGGAAAAACGAATTAAGATATCTGGGAGTAAAATTAACTATCTCATTAAAAAGTTTATACCAAGTAAATTATATTCCCCTGATAAATTCAATAAAAGAGGAGCTGAGAAGACTAATAGGAGGAGGGGCCTTCTGGATCGGTCGAATAAACTTAATTAAAATGGTGATACTTCCAAAAATTCTATATAAATTTCATATGCTCCTGATTCTTCTACCAGACACATTTTTCACGATAATTAAAAAAATGATTACTAAATTTGTATGAGCAAACAAAAAACCAAGAATTAGCTAGGAGATATTAAGTAGAGTTAAGGGGAATCAAGGATTGGGTTTACCAGATATGAAGAATTATCATACAGCTGTAATATTATCATGAGTAGTAGATTGGGCACTTAATCCAAAAGGGAAAAGTGGGGTAAAGTTGAGGGGGCACTAAGTAAATCGCAGTTGGAGAAGATGATATGGATACCACATAAGTATAGAACACTTGATGAAGACATTAGCACACTAACGAGAATAGTATTGGGTATATGGGATAGAATACACCGTAAGAAAAATTTTTAATTTAATTCCCTGATGATCCCATTAGTAGGAACTGCACCTGGAAATAAGATGGGAGGGAGCTGGATAAAAGATAAGAAAGCAAACTTGAAGGATGTTATAAAGGGGGGGGGGAATATGCACATTTCAAAGTTTTAAAAATAATAAAGATTTATTTGTGAGGCTGGATGAATGGAGGTACTACCAGTTATACCATTTTGTCATGAGTCTATCACAACGTTGAGGTCAATGGAGGACTTGAATCCATTCGAAAAATTAATGAGTGGAGACATGACTCCAAAACATATTACCTCAAGGATAAATAAAATACTGATGGATCTTGACGGAGTGGATCGTCCTGGGTTCGTAAGAAAATGGGAGAAGGAACTAGATTAGAAATAAACCCACAACAAAGGAAACTTATTTTTAAATGAATACATAAGGTGACAAATATGCACTCGATAGAAATAAGGTAAATTATAAACACATAGCTAGATGGTATTTAACACCAAGCGTTGCCCATAAACAGCAAGTAGAGAATCCCCCCTGGTGTTGGAGAGGTTGCGGAGAAAGAAGAACTATGGCACACATATGGTGGAGCTGTCCGAATATACAGAATAATTGGAAGGAAATAGCTCAAATTATCCAGGAAATATGTGAGGTAAACATTCAGGGAGATCCATGGAAATGTTTATTCTATTATTTTGAGCCTACAGTTGAAATATACAAAAGGAAAGTATTGTACCATTTGATTAGTGCGGCAAAAGGATTGATCCCCAAGTTTTGGCAGGAGACAGAGGTACCAGGGATGGTAGACTGGATAGTGAGAGTGGAAAGTATTTCTAGAATGGAGGAACTATGTAGTACGGAAGAAGATAAAAAATGGAAAAGTTTAGAAGAATATGGAGTTGCTAGAGGAAATTTAAAACCTCGGAAACGTATGTCGAATTATTAAGAACAAAAGGGATAATATAGATTAATATAAACAAAATATGGTAATATAGAAGATAAATAAGATATTGATATAGATAGAGAAAAGATTTTGCAGGTAAGGGAGGGGGGGAGCATGGGGGGAGGAGGGAGTGGGGAAGGGAGTAATAGAATATAATAGGAACAATGTGTTTATGAAGATATAATGTGTTTTATGTTTGTTTGTACAAAAAACAAAAATTTAAATGAAAAAAAAAAAAAAATTTTTGTCCAAGAAAAATTTATTTCTGCTTCTTCAAATTTTCTCATCACTGTGGTTGAAAACAAACATTGAATTGACCCTATTAACTATTAGAAAATCTAATGACTGTTCTTAAAACAAACATTTTTTAACAAAATTTTATTAATGTATGGCCAGCTTTAGATTCACACTGCAGATATACAGCTATGAGGCTGTAGGCACAGCAATGTCTAGGCGCACTCACAATTCAAGACAAAAAGTACATGTCTAAGGCTGCAGCTTAGGTACAATTACACTTCTAGATGTTCTCGCAACAGGGGCGGACTGACCATTTGGAAACTCGGGCACTGCCCGAGGGCCCAGGGTCAGTAGGGGGGCCCCATGAGATGCCCCTGGTACCTTTTTCATAGGCATTTTTGAGTTTGGGCAAGGACACAGGGGCCCCATGATCCCCTATTGCCCAGGGACCCCATGAGTTGTCAGTCCGCCCCTGTCTCTCAATATAACAAATCTCCTTCTGATTTCAGGTCCAGTTTAAAACTGTTTCCTTCCTTGACTAATGTCCTCACCCAGTCACTAAAACTTCACTAAGTCCTGACTGAGCCATATTCTTTCCAA